ATTCTATTCTATTCTATTCTATTCTATTCTATTCTATTCTATTCTATTCTATTCTATTCTATTCTATTTCTATTTCTATTTCTATTCTATTCATATTAATCTCATCACTCCTTATCACCCATCCCCTCCCACTTGTGACTGTATGACTGTAACTTTGTTGCTTGTATCCTTACGATCTATATTGACTGTTTCCTAGAGTGATTAGATTGCTTATTGCACCCTATCTATCATTAAGTGTTGTACCTGATGATTCTTGACTCTTGATGAATGTATCTTTTCTTTTATGTATAGTGAGAGTATCTGCACCAAGACAAATTCCTTGTGTGTCCAATCACACTTGGCCAATAAAGAATTCTAATTCTAATGCTAAAAAGTTGCTTGGACATTTCAACACAGGAAACAAACTAGTAAAGTAGAAAAACCACACCCCTTACCAACACAGGAAAGGTAAGCTAGCATATATAAACAGGGAGAAAACCCTTCACTCACTAGCACTGACGATGTTACCTACTTGGGTAATGAAATGTCTGCAGACAACCATGAAGGATGGCACAGTTCAACCCTGAGCTACAGATTATATTCCTTTTTATTAGCCTGATGTCTCTTGGAGTTCTATTATAGAGCAAATGTGTAACTTTCTCTCAAACTTTTTCGGATGATTCTATTCTATTCTATTCTATTCTATTCTATTCTATTCTATTCTATTCTATTCTATTCTATTCTATTCTATTTTCTATTCTATTCTATTCTATTCTATTCTATTCTATTCTATTCTATTCTATTCTATTTACTCTACTCTACTCTATTCTTCTCTTCTGCGGTACTAATCCTTCCCGCGATTTTGATTCTACACCTCTGGTTATACAACCAAGGAATGCATAGGATTTTTTGGCAGTTGCTGCACACAGCTGGATCATGTTTAAGGGATCATCCACTGGGACTCCAAGATCCCTCTCACAGTTACTGTTTTTGAGCCAGGTCTCGCCTCATGTCTACTTGTACCATTGGAAAAAGCAAATGGCAGTTCCGTTAAGTCAAGTCTTCATAGTAGCACCTGACGTCAACCCAGGGTGAGTGAGACAGAGATGCCTTTCAGTCCCGCTCCCATCT